AAAAAAAAAAAAAAGAAACCTCCAAGCCTAAGTCTCCTCCAGGAGTAATCTGGCTCTTTATAAAAGGCTAGTTTCTTCTGAGAGTCTCTGCTATTCTTCGATGGATGACCCTGTGTGCTTGTATCTGCTATTTTTCTTTCTTTGGTGCTAATACTGGGGCTTCAAACAAGGGCCTTGGACTCTTCTTAGCTTCTTCACTCAAGGCTACTACTCTGCCACTTGAGCAGTTAGAGATAATAGCCTTTCAGATTTGGCTGTCCAGACTGGCTTTGAACCTTGAACCTCCCTGCTCCGTAAATAATATTGACTTATTTGCTGGCCCTGGGGGTTGAACTCAGGGCCTAGGTATTGCTCAAGGCTAGTGCTCTACTTCTTGAGCCACGGCTCCACTTCCTGCCATTTTTTTTTTGTTGGTCATAGGGCTTAAACTCTGGGCCTGGGCACTGTCCCTCAGCTCTTCAGCTCAAGGTGAGTACTCTACCACTTGAGCCACAGCACCATTTCTGGCTTTTTCTGTTTATGTGGTGGTGAGGAGTCGAACCCAGGGCCTCATGCATGTAAGGCAAGCACTCTACCACTGAGCCACCTTCCCAGCCCTCCTTCCATTTAAAAAAAAAAAAAAGAAAAAAAAACAACCCACAAAACCCTCTCACTGCCATTCAGTGTTAATAGGACTGAGACATGAACACAGGAATTCTGAGTGAAGCCCTAACAGAAGGGGGGTGGCCAGCTGCATCCCTAACATGTTTTCATCAGATGCTGAGCTAGACCTCTCACCCCTCTGTACACTCACACCTCACTTGCTAGGTTCCAGGTACTGACAGCAAAGCCCATCTGGCTAAGAAAACCAAAGGGCAGAACCAAAGAGAAGACATTAGTTTTGAGATCCACTTAGGTGGGCAAAATGATTTTGAAAAATGATCAAGCAGGAAGAGTGGCAAGCTCTATCAGACTACGTATGTGGCTAGATTGTGAACTGAAAGGACATGGGGTGGTGAAGACACCTCCACGCTAAGTCTAGTAAAAGGGCAACTGCTCTACAGAGAGTCAGTGCAGTTTGGAGGGAGAGGTACTGGTGAGCACAAATACAGAAAATCAATTGAGACCTACATGCTCCAAGAAAACTTGTGAAGGAGGCAAGTGACATGTGATCTCAGGAGATAAGAAGGGAATTGGGAAGGGGCTGAGGTTTGAGAAGGGGTATGTAGGAAAAGGAGAAAAGCATTCAGGCAAAAAAAAAACCCCCAAAATGTGTAAAGCTGTGGATGAGAGAGTACACACTTATTACTTTTGAAGAACTATAATATGGCTGAACTTTAACGCAAGACAGTGGTAGGAGCCAGGCACCGGTGGCTCACGCCTGTAATCCTAGCTACTCAGGAGGCTGAGATC